TGCTGATGTCAATGTTGTGGATCGAGTGGCCCATGGTGGCGGTGGGGTTATGGTATGGGCAGGCGTATGTTCTGGACAACGAAGACAGGTGCATTTTATTGATGGCATTTTGAATGCAGAGATACCGTGACGAGATCCTGAGGCCCATTGTTGAGCCATTCATCTACGACCATCACCTCATGTTGCAGCATGATAATGCACGGCCCCATGTTGCAAGGATCTGTACACAATTCCTGGAAGCTGAAAACATCCCAGTTCTTGCATGGCCAGCTTACTCACCGGACATGTCACCCATTGAGCATGTTTGGGATCCTATGGAGAGGCGTATACCCCAGCGTGTTCCAGTTCCTGCCAATATCCAGCAACTTCGCACAGCCATTGAAGAGGAGTGGACCAACATTCCACAGGCCACAATCAACAACCTGATCAACTCTATGCGAAGGAGATGTTTGCACTGTGTGAGGCAAATGGTGGGCACACTAGATACTGACTGGTTTTTGGACCCCCCAATACAGTAAAACTGCACATTTTAGAGTGGCCTTTTATTGTGGCCAGCCTAAGGCACACCTGTGCAATAATCATGCTGTCTAATCAGCATCTTGATATGCCACACCTGTGAGGTGGATGGATTATCTCGGCAAAGGAGAAGTGCTCACTAACACTGATTTAGACAGATTTGTGAACAATGTTTGAGAGAAATAGGCCTTTTGTGTACATAGAAAAAGTATTAGATCTTTGAGTTCAGCTCATGAAAAATGGGGGCAAAAACAAAAGTGTTGCGTTTATAATTTTGTTCAGTGTATATATATATATATGTGTGTGTGTGTGTGTGTGTGAGATTTAGTTTAGTGCAGTAGAAACTGGCCAAATGTCATAGATTTGCTTTAAATATTGTAATTGTGTAAAATGTTAATTCTTGTGTTACATAACCTTTTTTTACTCACACAAATGAAGCAAACAAACAATTTTATTTCAAGAAGTGTGGATGAATTAGGGCTGGACAATAATTCAATATCAATATGTATCGCGATAGAAGGAGGGAGAGAGAGAAAGAAATGGAATCTAAGGAGGCTTACGCATAGGCCCAAAACATACTTGATGTACTTGAAGTTGAGTTGCGGAATGTGGCCAGTCACATACATTGCATATACATCACAGGAGAATTATGTTATTGTTATAGTACAGTGCCAATAAGTAGCAAGTAATTATATATGCATAGTGGAAATCGGTTTTTAGAAAATTTTTGGAGCAAAATGGGCAATTCCATTATCTTGCTATGCATAATTTTATCGCTACGCTGTGAAAAATATCTGTGGTTCATTTTACGGTTAAAAAAATGACAGCTGTCATTAGGGCTGGACAATAATTCAATATCAATATGTATCGCGATATGATTTTTAAACATATTTCCGATATTTCGATGTACATTACCAGTGTTTCCCGTACATTGATTTATTTGTGGTGTTTGATTTCGTTGAATAAACATGAGCACTGCACATTTCAAAATCATAACATGGTGCGGGTGTTTTAAATGAATGTATCTTTGAAGGAAACCGACTGTCTTCAGAAAAGTTTTGATGGCATTTTCATTTGATCTGATAAAGTAGCTTTCATGAGCGGAGCTGATTTGATTACAGCCATTACTGGGGAAACTGCTAGTTTTATCACTCTAAAAGCGCCTCCTGCTGGCAGAGAATCAGTTTGCATTTTCAATAAGAAGCCGGTCTCCAGCTATATGTTTTTTTGTTGCTCAATTGTTTTGTTTTCGGCAGCAGCTCAGAGCACTTTTCATATTCTTTATCCTGGCTGAAGCACATTTGTTTCAATCTATAAGAATAATCAGCCTACACTACCAGTCAAAAGTTTTTTAACAGTAAGATTTTTAATGTTTTCTTTTTAAGAATTCTCTTCTGCTCACCAAGCCTGCATTTCTTGATCCAAAGTAGAGCAAAACAGTAAAGTTTTGAATTATTTTTACTATTTAAAATAACTGCTTTCTATTTTGAAAGCGGTTATTTTAAATCTTCAGAAATCATTCTAATACAGTGCTTCCCACAGGTTTAAAATATACTTGTGATGGTAGCCGGGTGGAAAATCCTCCTATTACCCACGGCACAAAAATGGGACTACATGTGACAAATGACAAATAATGTGTGATTTTTAACAATATTGAAATTTATTGAAATTCATTTCAATTACATAGGCTACTATTACATTTAATTACATACTAATATTATGCATTATATTATATGCATTGTAAATTATGCAAAATCACAGCATTTAAATGGTAGAGTTCTCCTTACTTTGTCATATAGTGTCTCTCTCAGTGAATGGGGACACAGATTTTACGGATACTAGTAAAATCTATATATTGAATAATATGTGTCAGATAATGTTCTTAGTCTTTTGTGGTGAAGCATCCCAGCCAGAAACTACAATAGTTTACTATGAATGAAATGGAAATTAAATTAAATTAAATACAATTAATTGTGTTACCAAAATACCAGTAATAAATAATAAATGTTTCTCCATATATATTTGGGCGGCCATTAATATACCTTGGTGGCCCGCCCAAGTAAAGTCTATGTGTGGGAAGCACTGTAACATGCTGATTATCAATATTTAAAACGGTTGAGAATAGGGCTGCACGACTAATCGAATACGATTGTCATGCGCATTTTGTTAAAAAAGCCGGTTCTGTAGTCAGCAGGAAATCATCATCACGTGCTTTCAGATGGAGCAGTATTTACTACACATAGCCGTAGTTCACTGACAAGTTACGTAAAAAAAGAAATCGCAGACGATTTTATTGCGCGATTCTGAAATCGAAGAAATCATTTGCGATAATGACAGCTGTTTGCATAGCTTCTCGGTGAACTACGGCTCTGTGAAGTAAATGCTGCTCCATCTGAAAGCATGTGAAAATACCACATTTAATAACATGTTTTTACTCCAAACTCACTTCATAACGTCAGTCGAGTGTTTGAAATAAATCCTTCTGTGAGATGATGTGGCTTCTTACACAGAATAAGGCACGCATTTTGTTTCATAGTATTTAAGCAGTGATAGAGGCATTTCATTATAAATATACTTTATTTTAATGAAAATTATAATAATAACTCTGATAAACCGTATATATCCGTAGTCCTGTGTTTATTATTCACGTTGAATTAATGAAAGCGGTTAAATCTTCTGTTTATTCAGCTGCAGCGATAGGCATTTTCTGGGTTTCTTCTGCAAGGCGTATTTGGAGTTTCAGCGCGAGAGCGCCCTCTGGCCTTTGGATGGAGATTTACTGCTGATCACAGAACCGTGCTTCACTGAAAGATATGCATGACAATCGCAGCTTCTGTCGAATCGTGATTCCATTTCGATTTATCGTGCAGCCCTAGTTGAGAATATATTTTTTCAGGATTATTTGATGAATAGAAAGATCCAAAGATCAGCATTTATCTGAAATAAAAAGCTTTTATAACATTATACACTATTCCATTCAAAAGCTTGGAGTCAGTATAATTAATGTTTTTTAATTTTTTTTTTGGGGGTGGGGGAAGAAATCATAGAAATGTTATTTAGCGCTGCAATTTTATTTTATTTATAATACTTTTATTTAGCAAGGATACTTTAAATTGATCAAAAAGATTATAATGTTACAAAAGATTTCTATTTCAGATAAATGCTGTTCTTCTGAACTTTCTATTCATCAAAGAAACCTGAAAAAATCTACTCATTTGTTTTCAGCATAATAATAAATGTTTTTGAGCAGCAAATCAGCATATTAGAATGATTTCTGAAGAATCACGTGACATTGGAGACTGGAGTAATGATGCTGAAAATTCAGCTTCACCAGGAATAAATCACATTTTAAAATATTTTCAAATAGAAAAGTTATTTTAAATAGGAAAAAAAAAAAAAAAATCTGTATTTTGGATCAAATAAATGCAGGCTTGGTGAGCAGAAGATAATTCTTTAAAACATGAACAAAATGTTAAAACATTAACATTAAAAATCTTACTGATCCCAAACTTTTGACTGGTAGTGTATGTCAGCCTATAGTTTGATATAAAGTAAACATTAATTTATTTGTGCTGTTTTTTTCCCTTAAATGAAGGCTACATTTATTTATTTGCGCCATTTTTTCCCTAAAATATTATATAGTTTTATACGAGTAGGTTTCATAGAGTTGGCAAATTAATTTTTCATAAGTTTGTAGGTACAGACATCTGTTGTGGCCGTTCTTGGCCATTTTTATGAGGCTTTTTTAATAGTGTTCATATCGATATCGGAAATTATATCGTATCGACCGAAATTAAGAAATATATCGTGATATAAATTTTGGTCATATCGTCCAGCCCTAGCGTGGACAAGTCTTAACTTTTATAAAGAATATCTCTTTGGGTTTGAGACTTTAGTCTTTGCAACTTTAGGTATCTTATGTATTCACGAACAGCTTGTAACACTCCAAAGAGAAAGGAACTCTTGAAATTGCGTCATATGACCCCTTTAAAATATGAAGCACTGCATGCAGCAAGATGCCATCATTGCTCAAGATTTATTGTTCTTTGTTAGCACATCTTAGTACAAGTTAGTACATCTTGACCTCACCCTGACTCTCTCTCACACTTTCTGTGTGTTTCAGAGTCAGTGTATGACCTGCTCCCTAAAGAGCTGCAGTTGCCCTCGGTCGTACAGCAGGACATCCCCACCATGAGCCAGAAGAGCGGTGGAGAGGCCGGACCTCCTCCTCCGGCTGCCCTGGCCTCAGGTAGGACACTTTTCACATCGCTCCTTCCTTCCCTGTCTTTTATTTTAGTCATTTTTTGTTCAAGCTAGAAAGACTCTCCTAATCAGTTTCGCTCAGTCCTGTGCATGTGATGTTCAGGTGACTTTACTAAACTTTTCTCTTTAGTGGTGTGGTGTTTTCATTTTTTTCTTCTTCTTTTTTTCTGTCTAAGCATATGGTTTGTACAATTTCCTTTCTAGTGCTGCTGACCAGTGCTTTCTGTTTCACTTATCACACTTTTCAAAAACCCATCTGCACGTCCTGACCTTTTTTTTTTCTTTCCTCTCTTTTGGCTGTTTAGATCATTTCAGATTTTGCAGACTAACTCATTTCAAGTGTCTTACTTGACCTGTCCCATTAAACCTGTTAAAAAGAGCTTCCTGTCTGTCAGTGGGGAAGAATGATTTCCTGACTTTTCCTAGTCTGGAGACTAGGGCTGCACGATAAATCGCATGTGATATTTAATGTGCATCTTGTCAGTAATGCCGGTTCTGTAATCAGCGGTAAATCTCCATCATGTGCGTGCTTTCACATGGATCAGCGTTTACTGCACAGAGCTATTGTTCACCGACAAGCTGCGCAAAACATGCGCTAAATATCGCGTGCGATTTATCGTGCAGCCCTACTGGAGAGCATGTTATGGTTGAATAGGGCCCTATGATTTCCGCGATGTGGAAAACGCGGACGGTATCGTGAAATCCAGTCATAAAAATGGAATTTACTGTATAACACGGAACGTCACGGAATTTGTCAAAGTTTGGGTGAATTCATCAAAAGTAGGTCATTACACTTAAATCAAATCTCGATACGGACTAGTATCTGTACATATTAAGCAACAAAAATACTATTTAAATATGAATCCCGCATATGCGCTGTTTCCTTTACTAGTGAGCGCGCGTGACGCTTGCGGTGATTTCAGCATCTGCCGCCTCAATATTTGAATACGTGAACACATAAATGATCTCTAGTCACTTCATGAGCGTTTAACCATTTCATCTGAGAGAAACTATCGTCATATATGCACACAGAAATGTAAAGGTATTCACGGCAACCCGTCAAAATAAAAGTTTGGTTTAACTTGAAGACATTATTGTGCCTGAAATAGCCTGCTACTGTTGTTCAGTAGATGTACGTACTACTACAATTACTAAAATGATTAAAACTTTATTTTTTAAGGAATTATTACACACTTATTTCTTTCATGTTTTAATGTTAATAGTAAATCCCCTTTGTTTGCCAAAAAAAACCTAACCCTAACAACATTTTTATTTGGTTAAAAGATTAATTCAATCAATGTTTTATGCCTTCATTTGATAACCAGAAAAATGTAAATACAAAACAGAATTTCGGAGGGAAGAAAAACAATATTTCATAGACTATTGTAAAAATAAATTAATAAATAGTTTTTATTCATTCAAATAATTAGACGTGTGAACAGAATTTGGTAACAATAAAACAGAAGGAAGGAAAGAAAGAATAAATAAAACATTTCATAGGTTCCTAAACATGTAATTTTTGTTAAACGTTTAATAAATTGATGTTAAATTGTATAAGTTTCATGATTTTAATTAACTAGACATTAGTTGTCTAGTTAATTAAAATCATGAAACTTATACAATTTAACATCATTCATTTTTTTATTGATAAAATGTCATTTAATCATTAAAAAAAAGAGTCCAGAAAAATTAAAATGGAAAAAAATGAATTTGGAAAAAAATCAAACAAAATTTGGGAACAAAATAAAGCGGATTTCATAGGGCCCTAGTTGAAGCCAGTCAAGGCAATATAAATGGCACTTACTGACTGGCAGTGGTCCTTAGCACATTAGGTGACATCTGGAAAAAAAAAATCATAAATTATTTTTCATCTTTGTCTACAATTATATTGGCATCAGGCCTAATTTGGGGCTTTTCTCTTAATCTTTTTGCTTCTTTTTTGGAGGCCTTTGTTTCTCTCAACTAATGATAAAATTGCTTTAAATCAGAGTAGGGCTGGGCAATATAGCAAAAAAAATATATATTAAATCTGTTTTTATATTAATACTTCAAATCTTGTTTATGTGTGCATTTGCAATGGAAACAAAACAAACAAAAAACAGGTATTTTTCAACAATGTCAATCAAATACAAATAAAATATACATTTTAAATAAAAAATTAAATAGTTAAAAATTAATCATGAATTGTTTTCCACAATGTTTTTATAAACTGAATATAAAAGTGAAAGTTTAATCATTTCTACTTGCATGCACCAATATAAGAATGCATATTAACAGCATAATACATAATATCAATATTTAGTTGAGATGACATCATAAGTGATCCTATGTATTTTCTTAATTCTTATCAATTTGTTATGAAAATGATTTATTAACGAAAAATTTTTGTTTTCATAATATTAATCAGAATGTAATACTAACATTTTGATAGCTGTTTCACTTGGAAATTCACTTCTGTTTTATGCCGAAAACAAAATATATTTGTATTAAAAAATGTGTCACACAAAAAATTCAGTGCCTCACAAGGATGCCAGTGAATATTCTAGAGTGAACAAATACTTTTGATTAATTTAAATTCATTTGCAGAAATCAAACTGTTGTGATTTCTGGTACTCAGGTTTAAATTAGAGACATTATTCAAATATCTTGTTTTATTGCTTTACGTGCTTAAAGTCATTTTGACATTTACAACTTTGCTTCGGTCAACAAAATAATATCAAATATATCGCCCAGTCCTAATTAAAAGGCAATACTCTGATTGCAAATATGTTTGCAAGTAGCCAGGTTAACATTACACTACTTCCTGTTTTGACAGGAAGCTGAGGGATCTTTAAGTGAAGCAGCCCAGACAAATATCAGTGTTTTTGCAGCAATAAATTTGAGGTAAAACAATCAACCAAAACCAAATCCACCACCGTATTAGGATGGTGAGAAAACCAATTATTTGATTCTCTAGAAAAACTGGCCCATTAAATTTGTAATCTAAAAACAAACAAAAAACAGATGTTTTTATGAATATTATGATTTTTGCTCAAATTATTCTGACCAAAATTTGCTGATATCTACATTGGATGACCAGCACTTATTGTTTATTCGCTGTCATTTGTCGTTTTTATTCCAGGGAGTTCCCTCTGAATCAGGGAGAGTCTGCATATAAAATGGTCTGCAGTTCTCTGCTTCGTAGGTCAGAAGCTTGTTTATTCTGTCTCCATGGCTACGTTCAGTCCCAACCAAATCGTCCAATTAGCATGCATTAGTCGACACCTCAGAATTGTCATTGTGCAATATTATTTGTCTATGAGAGGCTGTTTTTAATAGATCAGCTCTGGGTTATCAACCAGTACCACACCAGTTTGCCCAGTTGGCATGCATTAGTTTCAGAGTTATCATTGGCCAATGTAATTTGGCTTTTTTTGAATAGATCATCACTGGGTTGTGCAGAAGTGACAACAAATGCTCTGTAGACCCCTTACGCATGTTTATTTTTTGCTTTTTTATGATAGGACAAGTTATTGGGCCATTATTGAGATTCTACAAAATAGCTGCAATGTTCCAAAGAAGAATTTATATAGTTAAAAAAGAAATAAGTGATTGGATAATGTGTCAGCTTAATTAGGCCTACTTTAATTAGCGATTTAATATTAACAAGACATTCAAAACAGATAGAAGGCATTGATCAGATATCATTTCGGGTTTCACTGCTTGATCGGGACTGCTAGCCAGATTTGCACAGGCAAGTTTTATTAACGTTCTGCATTGTGCACACTACAGATGCTGCTGCCACTTGCGCCGCTGCCTCCTCCCCTGGAGGACTCAGCAGTACACTTCCTTCCTGTCCCAGCATGCTCACCGCTACCTCAGCCCCAGAGCTGGCTTGCAGGCTCCACAGCGGTCCTGCCGCAGAGGGGATGCCAGAGAGAATGGGTGTGGAGCCTGGATCAGTGGTGGCTATCAGTGCGGTAGATACTGTCGGAGCCACACAGAGCCAGGCAACCCCCTCGAAGCGGCGGACTGTCCTGAGCATCTCTCCACCTCCGGAGGACCTGCTGGATGATAGTCGTATGTCCTGCCAGGATGATCTGCTTGCCAACCAGGACTCGGAGCAGAGCAGCAGTATGTGGATGGACGACTCTGTGTCCAACTTTAGCGTGGGCAGCAGCAGTTCATACAATGACAATACTGAAGTGCCCAGAAAGTCTCGGAAGAGAACTCCTCGCCAGCGGCCGGGGCCAAAGCCTGCGGCCCGGGATGAAGCTGGCATGGATGTGTTTGATGCAGACAGCGCTAAAGCACCGCACTTTGTTCTTTCACAACTGGGTTCAGACACCAAAGTCACACCCAAAGTGAGGTTGGTGACATTACTTTTTGTAAATTTTGACCTCAAAGTTTTTGTTTTACAGTGTATTAAGGTTTATTTTTTAAATCTTTGACTTTTTTTATTTTCCCTTCAGCTCCCTGGAAGTGTCAAACAATCAGAAAGGGGGCATTCTTTCCATTCAATACCCACAGAAGAATGAAGGAAAGGAGCTGAAGATTTTGATTCAGCCGGAGACGCAGCACAGAGCACGATACCTGACGGAGGGAAGTAGGGGATCTGTCAAAGACCGTACCCAGCAAGGATTTCCTACAATCAAAGTAAGAATTAAATGCATATTATATTAACTGGACAAATATGCGTTTATGGATAATACAGTTAATGTGGTAATGTTTCTTAATATGGCACATCAGTTAGAGGGAGTCAATGAACCAGTGGTGCTCCAAGTATTTGTGGCTAATGACGCTGGACGTGTGAAGCCTCATGGGTTTTATCAAGCCTGCAGAGTGACGGGGCGCAACACAACGGCCTGTAAGGAAGTGGATATTGAGGGAACCACAGTTATTGAAGTAAACTTTGAGCCAACCAACTCTATGACCCAAGCGTAAGGATCATTCTGTTTGTGGTTTTCGGTGGCAATTACAGTCTCTTTTAGATAATATGTATTGTTAAAGTGTAATGTGATGTGTCTTGGCAGCGTGGACTGTGTTGGAATCTTGAAGCTGAGGAATGCCGATGTTGAAGCTCGTATAGGAGTTGCTGGCTCCAAAAAGAAGAGCACTCGAGCTCGTTTGGCCTTCAGAGTCAACATCCCAAGACCTGATGGATCTGTCCTAACCCTACAGGCCCTCTCCTCTCCTATCTTATGTAGTAAGTGCAAAGGATATATCAGGGTACAGATTTGATAGTAAGGGATATTAGTTTCCACATTTGTAACGGTATTCTTTGTGTCACATTTTTAGCTCAACCAGCTGGAGTGCCTGAAATCCTTAAGAAGAGTCTTCACTGTGGCTCTGTCGCAGGAGGAGAGGAAGTCTTTATCATCGGCAAGAACTTTCTCAAAGGAACAAAAGTTCTTTTTCAGGAAAATTCTACAGGTATTGCATGCATGGTCATCTAATGCTTTTTGCATCTAACATGCACTATATCATTGCATACTTGTGTTGGACTTTGATCTGTTTAAATGCAAGTGTAGAATAGGTTTTGAACCCAAGTACATCCTTTTCCTGTTTTCTTTTCAGAAGAGAGTGGCTGGCAGGCCGAAGCAGAAATTGACATGGAACTTTTTCATCAGGCAAGTGTAGGAGATGGCTGTACTGTTTTTAGTTCTGTTGTGTAATGCTTATCATTCATTAATATCTTGTTTAAAACATCATCTCAACATAATTTGATCCAGAATCATCTAGTGGTGAAGGTTCCCCCATATCATGACCAGACTTTGACCTCCCCGGTGTCCGTTGGGATTGCTGTAGTGACAAATGCAGGGAGAACACATGATCTACAGCCTTTTACCTACACTCCTCTAACAGGTTGGTGAAGAGAGGATACATCTATGAAATCAACAGATATCCATCTCGAATGTTCATGAGAAATATTGTGAAGATATGTTGACTATAAGCAAAGGGTGTCAATTTTCTTCCCTTGATAGTCCCGAGACATACAGTTGGGATCATATTTTTGGGTTAGGGAAGTGTCCGGGGTGAACAAATCATTTGGGTCTAATTTGTTGTTAGGGATTTAGTGGTAGGGATCGTGTTTGTCCTATGGTTGTTTGATAGGAATGGGTTAGGGTATTCTTAACACACATTATTGGGTAAATCAAGCAAAGTTACTTTGGTAAAGCAGGTATTGAATTGTGAATCTTAGCATAGCAGAGACTTATCTCATGATTATTAATTTGGTCATGCTGACAGTGCTTTGTAACTGTCCAGAAGTGTCTTTTTGCATAACATGGGATTGGTACATTTGCACCTGAATGATTTTGGGCAAAACAAGTAACAGAAATGCAGGATTAGTAGAAGTGCTGCAGCTGCTATTTGAAAAGATAAACATCTACAGTAATGGATTGAAGTACATTAAGTTAAAGATTAAATGCTATTGTTTTCGTGAATATTGCTATCAAGAGTCGTCAATTGTTCCTTGTGAAATTTTGTTTTGGTGACACCCCTTGATGGGACAAAGTATACAATTTCACTTCCACACCAGTAGATCACTCATTATTTTAACTCTTTTCATACAGAGAAAGTTGAACTACCAGTGAAATCAGAACTGCCAGCCACAGTCAAGGCTTGTACCTTTGAAGAGCAGATAAAAGGTGTGGCATTATCAAAATATTTTCATGTTTTGCATCCATTAAACTTTAAATTGATAGACTCTTTAGAGCTGTAAAGTTTGAACTAATTTGTTTATGACTTTGTTTACAGCAATGCAAACTGAGACAAATTGTCTAAACAATGTCTTAATGTTACCTATGGTCAAACGAGAAGAACCTATGGAAGTTTCCTGCAACGCAGCACCTTCAGACATTTTTAAGGTACTGTCATTTTTAAGGTGCTGTCATCCTTTTTTTAAATTCAAGTTCCAGTTTTAACCTTGGAATCCTTTAGTTTAGGAAATAAACCCAAGCAAAATATTGATTTCATGAATGGGGCATGAAAGTTAACATATTTTCTCATTTTTGCAATGCAGCCTGTAGAGGCCCTTAGTTCAACCCAACAAATCTTGGAGATAAGTACTGTCCTTCCTTCTGCCACCAAGTCTTTTCCAAGCCCTGTGGCTCTTCAATCCGTCGACTCACAACCGCCATCAGCTCAAATATTTACGACTCAAGAAACCTTATCCACCATTCAGAAGCAGGATATTCCTTCACCTGCATCGTTCCAAGTGTCCTTGTCAGAAGACACAACAGTTCTCCAGCCTGTTCCCCCTCAGGTCCCTCAGCAGTTCTTGCGTGAAACCCCAGAAACTTTGTCTCCAGAAGACAACAGTGCAGATGGAAGTGGAATGGTATTGGTGGGCATAGACTCTCGGAATCCTCCATCCCAGCGGCCACAAGTTCAGGCGCTTTTGCCCCAGGATGGAGTTGCACAGCTAGAGAGAGCAGTAAGAGAGCTGCAAGCACAACAGCAGCTAAATTCTGTACTTTATAGTCCGACGCCGTCTGCAGAGAGCCTTCAGCAACACGTCCAGGAAAACATGAACAGTTTAAGGTTGGGTGGAAATGAGACCACTCTAATAAACCAGCAACAGCAGCAGCAAGAGCAGAATATATTGGAAAATCTTCAGCAACAACAACAGAAAGCACTTGTGGATCTACAACATCAACAGACAGTCCTTGAAAATTTGCAGCAGCATCAGAAGGTCTTTGAAAACTTCCAGCAACAGGCTCTTGGCAACATTCAGCAGCAGCAAACACACAAAGTTTTGGAGAATCTACAGCATCAACAGCAGCATCAGAACGTCCTGGAAAACATTCAGCAACAAAGTTCCATAGTGACTCTGCAGCATCAAAAAGTTCTCGATAATCTTCAGCAGCAGCAACAGCATCAGAAAAATTTAGAAACTCTTCAGCATCAGGAAGTATTAGAGAACCTAAAGCAACAATTGCAGTCAGAGCTCTTGCAGACACAGATTCCAATGCAGTGCACGCCTAGCTTCACTAGCGAACAGCAAAGCTCCACACAGACTAATACTCTATCGCAGCCCCCTGAAGGCTTCCTCCAGAACCCAACCCAGGAGCAGTTGCAGCAGCAGACTGCTCTTTTCCAACAGACAGGAGGTCTTTTGACCATTCAGACATCAAGCTTTCTGCAGCAGACATCCTCTCAACCCTCACCTCCACAGCCACTTTTTCAGAATCATAGCCCCTTGACTGAAACACAAGACTCACAGACAGTACTCTTTGGAACCACAAAGTCACCACAAGTCCAAGCAACGTTATTTCCTGGTACCATGACAATGCTAACAAGCACCAATCTACCTACAGATCAGCAGGCTCCTCCAGCTAGCCTGTTTATTGCGCAGAGTGTGTTGCCCAGCCAGCTATCATCGGATAATAACCAGAACCAGCAGCAGCAACAGATAACTTTCCTCACACCCATGCAGACATCTGGAACAGAAGCTCAGACTGTCTCACTTTTTCAGGGACAAGCACAGTTGTCCACCCCAATGGAACAACAACAGTCTCCCCAACCACAACAAATGGCAACACCCCAGCAGGCCCCTCTTTTTCCAAATATTGCCACAATATCCCCAAATCAAGCACAGCAGCAAACACAGACTGGCATATTGTTCTGTACCACAACCATTAATCCCCATGATCTGCCCCAGGCTTTGCTATTCAGTGGCCAGAACCAAGCTTCTTTAGGAAGTGACCGTCTCCCAGAGAATATATTTCAGGAGCAGCAACCCATGCAAGTTGTTCCCAGCTCTGAAAATGTTGCTGTGAACAACCCTTCAAACCAACCCACCGCCTCAGCAGCCCAGCCAACTCCGAATCCATCAATAATTTTTTCACAACCCAGTGTTGTGAGTGTTGCCCAACAAGACTCGACAGAGCCCATGTCTTTTCAAGACCAGAGCACTGTTGTGAGTGACTCGTCTGCCAGTATGTCTTCAACACGGACAGAACTTTTTCAGGACCAGCAACCTATGCAGGTTGTCCCCAGTGCCACCACCGTAACCCCTGTCTCTCCTACGGACCAACGTTCTGTCAACATTTTTTTGCCTCAGTCAACAATTTCAGTCCTGCAAGGTGGTGTAAGTGCTCAGGAGTTACCTCCAACTGCCACAGCAGCAACCATCTTTAGTGGACAGAGTGGTGTGGCAGTGGGCGGTCTCCAGAACACCACATCTTCCGCCCCTCAGCAACCTCCCAGCCAACTCTTTCAGACAGCTATTGGGGGAACTCTTAGCCAACCTGGACAGCCAGGACAAGCAGGTCTTTATCTCTTTGAGATTCCCAGTGGTAAGTGCAATTAAGTCACAACATGAAATCAGAATTGCAATCAATCTCAAGAGATTCTTTGGAGCAGTGCTTCTCAAACCTGTCCTGGGGACCCCTAACACTATACATTTTTTTAGGTCTCCCTCATCAGACACACCTAATTTAAGTTTTGCAGTCTCCGTTAAATGAGCTGGTCAGTTGAATTCAGGTATTAGATGAGGAAGACAAAATGTGAATTTGTGGAGGGACCCCAGGACAGGTTTGAGAAGCAGTGCTCTGGAGGGTGATCCCGATCAAAACCGCTCTTCAGAAGTGGGTTATTTTTCTTTCTGAGATTCCCAGATGCAAGTGCTATTATGTCAACATTATATCAGAATTGTAATATTAGCAAATAACGGTACATTTAGAAAATAAAAAAGTAAAATTGAGATATGTTGAGATGCTCTGGAAAGTGATTCTGTCCTTGACCTAGTCCAGGGGTGTCCAAACATGGTCCTGGAGGGCCACTGTCCTGGAGTGTTTAGCTCCAGCTTGCCTTAACACACCTGCCTGGAAGTTTCTAGTATGCCTAGTAAGACTTGATTAGCTTGATCAGGTTTGTTTAATTGGGTTGGAGCTAAACTCTATAGGACAGGAGCAGGATTTGTCATCCTAGTCCCAGTCAAAAAATCTCTTTAAGTTGGTTGTGGCATTGGAGTAGTCCTCCACTGTGAAATGCCCACATTTTATGATCCAGCAAATTCCTGATGGTTCAAACCTATCCTACATTTATGTCTCATGCAACAATGCACACACCTTCAGATGTTGCATTAACTTTATAAATTAGGTTGATTGCAGAAGATGCCTTTCTGAGTCTCAAAATGTTTATTCTCTCTTTTATTAGAATGTGGACCGCTAATGAATTCTCCTGGTTCGTCGTTGTCAGATCAGCTTGTCACCATGGGACATCCCGGTTCGGATCAGACCCAGTTTCAGACTAGTGCACAGATTCATCCCTTACTGGACCAGTCCAACAACCTCGATGATAAGATAGACGAACTTCTGGAACGCTTTCAGGCACAGGGAAAGACTCTCCCTAGGGATTTTTTGGACCATTAAAGATAAGTAGTCTGAAACCTCAGTCCAGTAGACCACCGTCCACACTGCTTGTTGATGTTTCTTTACATCTTCCATCTTGTGTAGGTATTGTCTAAACTTGGGGGTTGTCTCAATTGGGGGTCTTCACTTGTATCTATGTTTCTGAAAGCTTTGTAGTGTGTTGTTTTGGCGGGATATGTTACATATGGATCTCGTCACAGCTCCTTTTCTTGATGGACATAAAAGGGTCCATTTCATTGAGGCCACTGTTTGGCATGTCAACATATCATGTGACCCATTAAGCCATTAAGTATATTGGCACTTTGCTACTTTGTATTGTGTTCTTGACTTCCACTTGAATCTTGTCCATTTATTGCCATCATTATTCTGTTTTATTTCAGTAGAAACCAACCTAGTACAACATAAATTCAAAACCTTTTTGTTGCTGTTGAGATACTAATACATTGTGAATGAATTTGAAATATATTTAGCACTTTAGGAAGTATCTGCCAGAGATTCTCCCTTTTAGCTTTGTAACCCATATGCGTCTACCTGGCTGTCAAAGCATTTCATGTTTTGATAGTCATAACGCTTTTCTAAAAATGTGTTTGTGTTTCATTACTCTTTAGTGTCTCCTTTCAGAATATAGCCTATTTTATGAGCCATGTTTAATGTTTTATTATGTGTTTGAATGTTTGACATGTCCATCTAATCTCTCCATTTCCACATAACATTTAAAATCAAGATGCTCTATGGAAATCACTCCTCCGCTTCTCCTGTTTTAGTTTAGTTTTATTTAATTTTAATTAAATGATAAAGAGGTCCAACTTGTAGACACGAATTCCTATCAGGGATGTGAAAATGTGCAACATTGCCGTTGAGATATGTGAACAGATTATATTATCATCCACCAGAGCGTCTACAATGTGTGTGTGTGTGTGCTCAGCAGAAAGTCACGGAGCACATTTGTACTATATAAGATGCAGCTACGTTCTTGATTTTGAATTATATGTGGTTCATGGAGATTATTCAAATAAGCACAAGCTTGGGAAGAGGATTTGTTGTGCTGGTGCACGCAAGGGATAGTTCACCCAAATTTGAAAATCAATATCTACTCATCTTTATGCCGTTCCAAACTGGTATAACCTTCTTTCATCTGTGGTGCCCAAAAAATATAACATTGAAAATATTTTGCTTTATGAGGAATGCATGAAAGAGATTTTAGAGTTACCATGGACATTTTTGGTCTTTTCCTCACGCACAGCATCTGAAAACTTGGAATATGGTGCACTTGCTTTTTTTTTAGTTTGACAGCTTTAGGTCATTGAATGCTTGTAAAGAAAAGAGCAGCGAGAACATTCTTCAGAATTGCTCCTTTTGTGTTTCACAGAAGAAAGACGGTCCTACAGATTCTGAAAGGAATGACACGAGTGTTAGAAAAAGAATGATAGGATATTTATTGTCGATGTGAACTATCACAACTATGAGGGTGGTTTTTGGGCAGCTTAAAATGGAAGTTAAGTCCATATTTCCTTGAGGGTTTAAGAAGGGATTGGTTAGTTTTCACCCCCCAAGTTACGATAAACCTCATCTACGATAAGATAGTCGATGTTCAGTTGTTAGAGGAGAAAATCTGATAAGTTTTAAATCAAGCTATGATGAAGAGACTGCTTCAAACCACCACTGCACGACAATCTCATCATACAAGTTTTAAAAATGATCTTTTGGAAAATATGAAAGCTCTTACCAGTCAGAAATAATTAATCATGTGTCCTAACTGGAAGTTTTCTCTACAAGTAATCATCGGAGTAAAGAAGGGGTAGTGCACGCTGGTAAATTAACTTGTACAGGGTTTGATATTGACAGAATGCCGCCACATTTTGTCATAACTGATACTAATTGGTTGTTTACATCAGTCTTGATTTAAACATTTTTTTTATTATTTGTTCTAATTTTTCTAATTTCTTGCAAAAGTCATTGTCACACCCTCACTGAGGAGATCTTTTTGTTGTAGGACATTGCTCTGATATTTGATTAAATCACATTTGTTTGACATTTTACTTGTTCACTGACATATGCCATCTTTAAAAAAGCTTTTTAAGACTTAACATCAATGTACTCTACTCTAAGAAGCAGCTTTTGCATTGACAACATTCTCATGCAAACATAATGTGAGGTAGTTCTATTTAAAATCTTCATAAACATCTTTGCTTTGATAAGTCAGTTATTTTTACATCATACCTTTATATTCTTCTTTTTTTTTTTTAAATATGCTTTGTCAAATTTGCATAATTACTGTTGTAAATAGTAGATCGGCTGTTTTAAGTGTGCTGTTCCTTTGTGAGGTAGCAGTTTGTTAAAAGCGTGCTCTCTTTGTAGTAAAAGATCATATCTCACCTGCAAGTGAGGCATACATACAGTATTTTTGTAAGACTGAATTTCGAAATGTACTATGTACATTTTAAAAGTGAATTGTCCCTTCTGCAGTACTGTACTTCATATGTCAATATTCAGAGCGGTGGAATGATGGTTTTTGTCCCCATCACTGTGTTACAAAATGGAGATTGTTATTTGTTTGGTAAGTGAAATTCAAATATTGTCAATTTCTAAACAATTAAAAAAGGCTGGGTGTGGGTGAATCTCACACAGACTAATTGTTTGCCATATTCAACCCCAAAATCAATTCTCTGTAGCCTGTTGAATCTAACAGTAACCCTTGCTCTTGTAAGATGAAAAAAGGTTCATTTAAATCAAAGTACAATTGTACACATATTGGTACTATTTGTTGTACTGAATTGAATTGATGCTTGTTAAAAAAAATAGATTTTCATGGATGTTACAGGTTTTTTTAAATCTTTTGTTAAATTACAGTTAAGAAAACGTGATTTTTAGGAAGTTTTCTTTTGATTTTGGGGTGAAATATGACCTGTGAGATACATATGCTATTGTTCTGGAACTTGGGTTCCATGCAAAGCCATAAAAAAAAAAAAAAAACTCTGGAATCAGAGTGGAAGAATGTGTGTGAGTTTTACCTCATGTTGCAGGACATAGATTCACACTACATCTAACCTAAGGACCAATTAAGAAAAAAACATATTTTCTCAAAACAAGGCAGCAAAATCAATGTCTTTTGATTAAATAATCATTTGTCCATTCTCGTTTTTTTTTTTGGTACTGATGCTCCAGCTTACGTTAAAATCATACTGTATGTATTATGAACAAAAATATATTTCTGCACAAATCCATCATTAACATTTTTTTCATATTGTGCTTTTTGATTGAAAGTACTTTGTGCCTTTGCAAGACTTTCCTCTTACTTCTAAAGGACCTTTGTATATAATTAAATACTTAGATGTTGGGATTACTAGTTCTTAATCCAGAAATAAGACTACCGTTTTTTTTTTAATTGACATTGTTTTGTCTGGTCAAATTGTCATTAACCAGTCTGTTGGTGTAGTCTCAAATACATCTGAACATTTATATCATGAAACTGCTATGCAGCCTCAACTCTCACTTTTGTTTTAAAATGTTGTCATTCTCATCCACTGGTGGTTATTGCCTCTTGAAATTGGTAAAATCAAGGTGTAAGGTTAAAGAAGGTTATTGATCTCGGTGATGATAAATTTGATAACTTTTTTTTTCTGTTTGTTTGGCCATCAGGTGTTGGAAGAATTTTTGTTAGTAAATGTTGAATTAAAAAAGGTTTTAAGAGCACTTAACCCAATCACCAGCAGTTATCTGTGCTTTTATTTTATGTGAAAGGTGTATTTTAACTGCACTCTTTTTACACATTTTTGAATTTAGTTTGCTTTTGTTTGATGTGATTAACATCCAATGCTTTTAAAGTTGTCACAGGACAGTGGTTCTCAACCATAGTTTAATTTAGCGATTTCAGAATTGTATGTATAAATTATAAATGGGATGCATTTAAAATTGGTAGTTTTTGTTTGGCAAGGTCGCAACGGCACAGCACATTTATTTATTTGGCAGACGCTTTTATCCAAAGCACCTTACAGTTGAGGAATACAACAAGCGATGTATCATAAGATGGCAATAAAAACGAGAAGTGCCCGTTATACACTCTTAAAAATAAAGGTGCTTCACGATGCCATAGAAGAACCTTTTTGTCTAAATGGTTCCATGAAGAACCTTTAACATCTGAAGAACCTTTCTGTTTCACAAAAGGTTGTTTGTGGTGAAAGAACGTTCTTCAGATTATAAAAAGGTAAGAAAGAGATGGTTCTTTAAAGAACCTTTGACTGAATGGTTCTTTGTGGAACCAAAAATGGTTCTTCTATGGCATCGCTTGAAGAACCTTTTGAAGCACCTTTATTTTTAAGAGTGTACAAGGTTTCAGTCATCATAGGACAGGATGATGATGAGAGAAAAGCTCAGTAAACGCAGGACCAAATTTCTACATTGTGGTTGGGAGTTCAAGTGGTGCATTTTCACCAGAGTAAGGGATGTGAATTGGCACATTGCACGTGTCTATTTGAAGTATTCACATTTATTATAACTTCTTTTATTAAATAAATCTGCCCCTTTGTAAGTTTGCTGTTGCCCCCTAGTGGCCCCTGGTTGAGAACCACTGTTATAGGGATAACTGTTCACTCATGAGTGTGTAAGAATGACATTCAGTATGGTGAAGAAACATGAACTAATGACATTTGACGTGAATAAACGTATTTTGCTTTAATCAGTACATTTGTATACTCCTGCAGTTGTATTTCTGTAAGATGTGCTGCTATATGAATAAAGATAGACATGAAGTTCTTTCCCTTGTGTCTTGTATATTGTGTAAATTATACATAATGACAAAAGTCGTTGATGATACATTTTAATATTGTAAGTGTTTGTGTATTATTTACACATACAGAGTAGTCTGACCAATATAAAGTACACAAAATTATTTATGAATGAATGACTATATATAGTTTTATTTTGTTGTGATACACACACATACATGCATACAGTGCTGGGTAGTAACCCATTACATGTAATCTGGATTATGTAATCATGTTTATATATATATATATATATATATATATATATATATCGGTGGTGTTCTGAAATTAGCCCTCCCTCAAAAGTTTTTTGTGTGTGTGTGTGTGGTAAATTCATGTCCCAGTCACATTTTCTTGGTTAAATAAAAATTACTTGCACTATCAGAAAAAAATAATTCTATTTTTACTATACATATTTTCCTATATTTTTACAATGTAACCACTATTCTATTTATTAAAGCCAAGTATGAATGTCATCAAGTTAGTGTTTTTAAGCATTTTATATTTATTCCAAAATAATAACTCAAGGCAGTAACAATACTTACGTTCAGCTATTTCTAATAGTTAACTTTTAACAATTTTTTTATTTTTCGGATCACGCAGTCATCAAATCTCGGTAAATATTGGTCACAGACACCGATTTACTTTAAATTTCAACAAGCTGATTACTCACTAAAGACTCCCACAGATCATGTTTTCAAGCCATTTTAAGTCTTATTTTGATGTAACAGTGGTTAAATCTAAGTGTGTGAGTTGTTTACTTACTTTTCTAAATGAGTCTTCCCATTAATTAGGCTATATTCTTCATTCAGACTGATTCGCGAACACGCGTGTTCACAAGAGGCGGGATTTATCGCACAAACCAATCACAGCCGATCATAACCACTCATATCCAATCATATCGCGATGGAGGCATTGCCTCCTCCACGTCACTTCCGTGTTTTTCCTCAGGGTGCTTATTTACATCCGGTGCTGCGCCCCGGAAGCCATGAGAGATAGTACCAATAACAACAGAGCTCCCGGTAATCCACATTTGTTTGTATCTGTCATGTGGCTCTGCTGGGTGTTTGCTGTAATAGGAACGTCTTCACTTGACAGAAAGTATTTTAAATACTGTTCCCATTTTTAGATTGCCATGTGTCGTAATACTACGGTGGCCGAGAGAGCTCAACGCACTGCAAATGAAAAAACACATGCAAATAAAGAAACAAAGAAATGCGCTTCCCTTAAAGAAGTTCCAGATCTATACTTGTGCTCTTATTATTTCAGTTATTTTGCCTTTAATGTAAATAAACATGTGCAAACAATATATGTGCTCTTGTGAGTTTATTTGGATGTTAATTACATTGTGCCAGCTGTATCTTTATTACCGCGTGGTATATACATGTTGCTGCTGATTGAGCTGACATGTTTGACACACCCACCAAACAAGAGAAAACGTATCTTAAACCCCGTTGCACACCGTTTCCAGGAAACATGTCGTTCAAACCGGAAACTGTAGCAAAACGTTGCGCATCGGTTTGAGTTTGAACGTGCCCCTGGTTTGAAAAAAAACTGGCGCTTCACGATCCCAGCTGAAGCATAAAAGGATTATTCAGTCACTTTGAGGGCTGTCAGTAGGACATTTAATCATGTTTATAACTGGGGTCTCAGAGACCCCGAACACAACATAAGGGTATAACAGCTCACACACACACAAAAAAAAAATTCAGCTACCTACGTCAATTATTAATTATGATCACATGTTTGTGTATTTTATATTATTGATGGATATGTGAATCCGTTGACCAAGCTATACATGACACGAGTTGTGGTCTCATTGGCACAAATGAATTTAGATGAGATTATATCAGATTAGATATTGTATTGATCCCAGATTGATTCCACTCTTGAATGTCACAGATTTCCGAAGCTTTTGGTCGCATGCTTTTTCAAACCATCCTCTGCTCCACAATGATTTGTCAGAAATGGTGGAGAAACAAAGTCCGACCACCAGATGTCGCTAATGCACACCGTGTTAGAAGCTTCGAGTAATGAACCGTTTTTCGGCACGATTTCATGAAAGCCTCAAACGCTTCAGAAAGCCTCAGTTTCCCATCACTAAAATAAGAATACTCCACATGTCTTAACTCGATTTGTGTTTACTTCGATTATGACTTTAGACGGATTAAGGTAATCCAAAAATCTCTGTTTACATGGTAGATTCTTAATCAGAGTATTGTCTTAATCATCGTGTTAAAATCGGAGTATTGTTGTCATGGCCGGACTTACTATTGGGCTTGAGTGGGCTGCAGCCCATGGGCCCCGCCTTGTTGGGGGCCCCGTCTTTGCCCATTTACCTTTGTTTGATTTGTTCGTTATATGCCAGTCAGAATTCAGAAATTAATTAGCCACATTTCCACTGCGCACACAAGATCTAAATGGGCCAGCCGGGGCTAAAGCTTACAACTACGACCTTCGAGGCCACAATCAAACCGCATAAACTGGTATTTATGATTATTTCACATAGAAGAAGGACACACGTATTGAATTGCATCTGCACTGATTGGTTTGTTATCACCTGGCTACTTTAAACAGCTCCATTAAGCCTTTAGCCCCAAAGAGCGCTCATTTAGAAAGAGAATGATACATTCTCAAATGTTCACACCTAATTTCTTTACAGAGGATGATTCTATATCACTATATTGCTGTTCCACTAAATTATGCGATCATCTGATGAGTTTTGAGCGCTCTCTCTCGTCTTACTGCCATTACACATAGTGGGGAAGAAAT